TAGTCAGCTCTCTCTGCTTCGCGCAGCGGACGACCCGCGCGCGTCGCTGGGACCCCGCCCGGGGCGACCAGCGCGCGTCGCGGGGACTCCGCGCTGCGCTGCGCCCGCAGCCTTGGATTTTGGAGTGCGCGGGCAAAGAGGAAGGAAAAGAAGAGCCGAAAGCTGGCGCGATCCTCGCAAGAGGCGTGCCGACATGGGCGTCGCGACGTGCGGACGCTGCCGTCGGGGTTCCCGCGGAAGCTGCCTGCGGCGGCCACGCCCAGTGTCACGTGTGTTCGGACAGGCATGCTCGACACTTACACTAGGCGTTTCCATGATCGCATTCATGCAAATATATCCACTCGCGCGCAGACCCATTCATACTCAGATTCCCTCGCGCTCTGACTCACCCGCGTTCTTTCTCTCGTAATCAGATCTATCGTATTCCTTTGCGTTGTGTACCCCGCCACATTTCGGCACACCCCTCATGCGGTTCGTGGCCCCATAGGGAGCGCCACCGAAGAAGATACTCACAATTGCGATACTCACAACTGCATATGGTTGGGTCCTTCGCCAGGATAATTTTCCCAACCATCCTGTGGTGTTGGGTCCTCGTTTTGAAGAGACGGTGCCCCGCGTTCCCTCCTCCTCCTCCTCCCGCTGCCCCCTCCCTCCTGCCATCATCATCATCATCATCATCATCATCATCATCATCATCATCATCATCATCATCATCATCATCATCATCATCATCATCATCATCATCGCCCTCCCTCTTCCCTGCGTTTCACCCACCCAGTACAGCGTTTCGTAGCCCCATAGGAGCTCCACCGAAGGCCCCAGTACCCGCGCCCGCATGCGTCACGCACACCCAATTCGGCACACCCCTCACACGTTTCGTGGCTCCATAGGGAGCTCCACCGAAGGCCCCAGTGCCCGCGGCCGCATGCGTCACCCACACCCATTTCGGCACACTCCTCACACGTTTCGTGGCTCCATAGGAGCTCCACCGAAGGCCCCAGTGCCCGCGGCCGCATGCGTCCCCCACACCCATTTCGGCACACCCCACACACGTTTCGTGGCTCCATAGGGAGCTCCACCGAAGGCCCCAGTGCCCGCGGCCGCATGCGTCAACGCAACACCCTTTCGGCACACACCCTCACACTTTCGTGCCCATAGGGGCTCCGCCGAAGGCCCCAGTGCCCGCGCCCCGCATGCGTCCAACGCACACCCAATTCGGCAACACCCCTCACACTTTTCGTGGCTCCATAGGGAGCTCCCGCGCAGGCCCCAGTGCCCGCGCCCGGCATGCGTCACCCAACCCAATTCTGCACACCCCATCCACCGTTTCGTGGCTCCATAGGGAGCTCCACCGAAGGCCCCAGTGCCCGCGCCCGCATGCGTCACCCACACCCATTTCGGCACACCCCTCACACGTTTCGTGGCTCCATAGGGAGCTCCACCGAAGGCCCCAGTTCCCGCGCCCGCATGCGTCACCCACACCCATTTCGGCACACCCCTCACACGTTTCGTGGCTCCATAGGGAGCTCCACCGAAGGCCCCAGTGCCCGCGCCCGCATGCGTCACCCACGCCCATTTCGGCACACCCTCACACGTTTCGTGGCTCCATAGGGAACTCCACCGAAGGCCCCAGTGCTGCCGCCCGCATGCGTCACCCACACCCAATTCGGCACACCCCTCACACGTTTCGTGGCCCCATAGGGAGCCCCACCGAAGGCCCCAGTGCTGCCGCCCGCATGCGTCACCCACACACAATTCGGCACACCCCTCACACGTTTCGTGGCCCCATAGGGAGCCCAACAGAAGGCCCCAGTGCTGCCGCCCGCATGCGTCACGCACACCCTTTGGCAGCAAAAGAAAGCCCCCTCACGTTTCGTGGCCCCCATAGGGAGCTCCACCACCCTAGGCGCCCAAACGCAATTCAAGTGCCCGCGCCCGCTTGCGTCACCAGCCCATTTCGGCACACGCCTCACACGTTTCGTGGCCCCACAGGGAGCTCCACCGAAGGCCCCATGGCTGCCGTCCGCATGCGTCCCGCACACCCATTTCGGCACACCCCTCACACGTTTCGTGGCCCCACAGGGAGCTCCACCGAAGGCCCCAGTGCTGCCGTCCGCATGCGTCCCGCACACCCATTTCGGCACACCCCTCACACGTTTCGTGTCCCCATAGGGAGCTCCACCGAAGGCCCCATGGCTGCCGTCTGCATGCGTCCCGCATACCCATTTCGGCACACCCCTCACACGTTTCGTGGCCCCACAGGGAGCTCCACCGAAGGCCCCAGTGCTGCCGTCCGCATGCGTCCCGCACACCGATTTCGGCACACCCCTCACACGTTTCGTGGCCCCATAGGGAGCTCCACCGAAGGCCCCAATGGGTGTGCCCGCATGCGTCCCGCACACCCATTTCGGCACACCCCTCGTACGTTTCGTGGCCCCGTAGGGGGCTCCACCGAGAAGATATTCACAATTGCAGTATTCATAATTGCATATGGTTGGGTCCTTCGCCAGGATAATTGTTCCCTACCCTCCTGCCCTGAGAACAGCACAGCTGCTCCTTACCATTGCTTCCTCCCTCCCTCCCGCCTCCTCCCTCCTCCTGCCTCTTGCCTCTTGCCCACTGCCGGCGTGACTGTCGCCGCTCTCGCGAGCTGCTGGGAGGTCCAGCGGAGTGCGGCCTTGAACAGATCCCAAATGAAACCTCGCATCCCTGGGTGCGATCACTCGTGCAACTGTCGCCAGTTTCGTGAGCTCCTGGGAGGTCGAGTGGGGTGCGGCGTTACCCTGACCAAAATTCGGCGGCGGACAAACCTCCCTTAAGCAAACCACCCTCTAGTGAAAACGGCCTGGGGCCGAAACCGACGGACCTGGACCCGCAAAAACGACGGCCGCGACGCCCTCTCGCGAACCGACAACGGCCAATTCGCTAATCGACGTGTCAGGGCAGGAAGTCTGTCAGCCTCCGAATCAAAACGAAACCTCGCCTCCCTGGGCGCCACCCACTGCGCAGGTGCCGCTCCTGGGAGCTCCCGGGGAGCCCAGCGGGGTGGGACACACGCAGGTCCAAGTCCAACCAGCCCCGTGTGCATACATTTAGGTCGGGCATGTACCCCTACAGGGGGATTTTGGACGAAACATGAAAACAATCAGAAAATAGTCCCAAATGGCCAAAAATAGTTTTCAACATCGTTTCCAGACTATTGTTTTACTATTTTTGAATTTTCCTCCAGTAAAGGACAGGCCCGACTTAAGCTTAACATGGTTTAAGGCGATCTCTCTTCCACCACCGCTCCTTTCCCTTTGGAGAGGGCCCTACCCTCCCCCACGCGGGAAGAGTTCACCTCTACTAGAAGCCTCCTAAGGGCACCCTTGGGGCCTCTTGAGGAGGGGCAACCGTGGTGCCAGTCACGGTTGCCTGCATCGACCTTTCTACGATTTCGATTGTTTCCGGAGGCCTCTTGGGGCCGTCTTTGGGGGTGTTGGGGGCCGTCTTAACGCCGTCTTGGAGATCGATTGGTCCATTTTCGAACCCTTTTGGGCCGTTTGGGGCCGTCCTGGGTTCCTCTTGGGGCTCATTTGGGCCGTCCAGGTTCGATCTTGGCGGCCTACGGGGCCGTCTTGGGACGCCTTGAAGGCCGAGGGGGCGAGCACGGAAAAACCACAGAGCCATACCAGTGTTAGCCGGATGGGCCCCACGTAGAAAGCTATTGCACTGTGGATGTGCGAGCTGTGTTGCGCAAGCTATGTGGGGCAAGCTATGTCGTCCGAGCTATGTCGTGTAAGCTTTGTGTAGTGACGCAGCAACGGGCGGCAACGGGCGGCAACGGACGGCAACGAGGCGACCCTCGGTGGACCCCAGGCGGCAACGAAGTGGCAACGGGCGGCAACGAGGCGGCGACGGGCGGCAATGGGCGGCAACGAACTTCAACGTGTCGATCGCTCGGCGGACCCCCTAGGCGGCAGCGAGGCGGCAACGGGCGGCGACGAGGCGGCAACGCGGCGAATCCGCGGCGGGCCCCCCGAGCGGCAACGAGGCGGGCGACGGGCGGCAACGAGGCGAATCCTCGGCAGACCCCCCCCCCGGGCAGCAACGGGCGGCAACGGGCGACAGCGGGGCGAGGACCCCCAGGCGGTAACGGGGCGGCAACGGGCGCACAGGCGACGAAACCTCGGCGGAGTCCCCAGGCGAGCGGCAACGAGGCGGTCGCGGGCGCGACGCTGCCTCGGAGGGGGCGGGGCGGGGCGGGGGCATGAGCTCGCCAACGTAATTACCGCGGGGGCTCTCCGGAGCCCCCATGGAGCCCAAAGACGGTCCAATGAGCGCCGAGACCATCCAAGAGGGCGTCGAGGCGGCCCAGGTTGGCCCCGCGACGATCCCAGATGGCTTCAAGACGGCCTACGAAGTCTCCAAGACGGCCCAAAAATGCTCCCAGAGGGCCGCCGAGGAGGGCCGCGAGAAGCAACAATTGTGCCTTCCCCGATGGAAAACGTACATTCTCTACATACACCCCTGTTTCGTCGTAAGGCCGTCCACTGCGGCCCAAGGACCTCCTGAGATCGTTCCAACACGGCCCATGAGGCCCCCATAAGGGCACCAAGACGGCCCAACAGGGCCCCAAGAGGGTCCAAGAGGGCCCACGAGGGCCCGAAGACGGGCACAGGGGACACTGAGACGGCCCATAAGGGTCCCAAAGAGGGGCCCAGGAGGAGCAATACGAACTGGCTCCTCGAGCCTTTCCCGCCGTGATGGCCCCAAGAGCCCCCAGTGACGCCCGGGGCGCCACCAAGAGGCCCCAAGAGCCTTCCAAGAGGCGCCCGAGAGGCCCCCAAAAGCCCACCAGATGCCGCCAAGAGCCCTCCTAGAGGCCCCTGAGAGGCATTCCTGGAGACCCTCCTGTGCACCAGGCACGGTGGCACGACTCTTGACGAATCCACCGTCATGGGGGTCGGCGGCATAGCGGAAGCCTCTTGAGCAAGAACCCCTAAGTGTAAGCTCTGTTTGGGGACTTATGCTTGCATCTTGGGGCCTCTCGCGAGTCCGCTAGAAGCGGCATGTCTGTCTGTTTCCTGCCCGGGCGTGGCTTCTGAAGGTTCACGCATGTTGTCGTGCTGTCCGCTCCTCGTGGGCAAGCCAGCACACTGTGCACGCAATACTTAAATGGTGCGCCACGGGCACTTGCACTTGCCTCAGCACACCCCAATCCACTGTACACAGACTGATGAGACGAATCGTGCGATGAGGCGGGGCCGCACATTGGAAAGTTCATGTGACAATCCGACCATGATGTGACAGCAAAAAACTACCGAAAAACGGAGGAAGAACGTCTAGAACGCCGGCCGGCAACGGTGGGTGTTCGAGCAGCGCGCGTCGCAGCACTCGGCATTAATCCTGCAGGACTCGCCGACGCCACTGCACGGAAGGTGCTCGATGGCCGTGACCGTGACCGACACGCTGGTCGTCGCACTGGCGCTGCTGACCTCGGGCAGATCACCGATGCTCGTGCAGGTCATCCCGACTGGGCTGTCCTCGAGGGTGCTTCCGCATGAGCCGCTGTGCTCCCAACAGAACTGCACGCACGGGGCTGTCAAGTTGTCTGTGCTGGCCGTGCTGCAGTAGCCGTCACCCTGCGCAGAGAGCTCGTCGGCCGTGAAAGTCTTCGCGCCTACCACCTCGCCGTCGCAACGGCAGATGCAGTGGCACGGCGCCGTGTTGCCGACTGTCTCGCAGCTGCCCGGATGGCCTGGCGTCGGACTGCCCGCTCGCAACCGCCGTGGGGGCTCCGCTGCCGACACGCTCGAAGCCAAGCTCGAAAGCAGCAAGGCCCAGGGCGTTGCCAGCAGGCTCTGCCGCGCCGACATTGCTGCCGGGCAAGGTCCGAGCGGTGCGGAAGTGAGCCTGGCAGGCGAGTCGCGAGAAGGGCGGCACGAGCGGAGGGAAGCTGGTGCCGCAAAAAAAAGCGTTCGACAAGATCAATGGAGCCAAAGTGGCCACGGAAGTGCCCGCTGAGGCCACGTTCGGGCGTTTGGGCGGCCTCCGAGGCCGTCCTGGGGACGTCTTGTGGCGTCCTGGTGGGCATCTGAAGCCGACTGGGAGGCTGTCGTGCCTTGCTCGTCTCGTCGCGTCCTGTGTGGTCCTGTCTGGTCTCGTCTCTGCCGCTGTGGACGGCGAAGGCACGCCCGCGGCGGTCTCGTTACCCGCGGGGGAGCATGGAGGGGCCCGCCCGCCCTGTGAGCTTCGGGGGAGGTCCCTCCCCCAGGTCTGCACGGGGAGGGTCGCGAGCGGTCGGGGCGCCCGGGAGGGCCCAAGATGGCTCCAAGATGGCCCCAGGGGGCCCCAAAGCTGGCCTCCGAGAGCACACGAGATAGCCTCACATGGCTGAGGGTGGCTCCCGGCATGCCTCCCAAAAGACCCCGAGACCGCCACGAGAGGGCTCCGAGTGGCCACGGAGCCTCCCAAGACGGCCCCCAGGGGACCCTAAGACGGGGCCCATGAGGGCAAAGTAGAGGGCCCAAGAGGAGCAATACGAACTGGTTTCTCGAGTTCTCTCCCGTCGTGATGGCCCCAAGAGCCCCCAGTGACGCCCGGGGCGCCCCCAAGAGGCCCCAAGAGGCTTCTCAGAGGCCCCATTAGAGAGGCACCCGAGAGGCCCCCAAAAGCCCACCAGATGCCGCCAAGAGCCCTCCTAGAGGCCCCTGAGAGGCATTCCTGGAGACCCTCCTGTGCACCAGGCACGGTGGCACGACTCTTGACGAATCCACCGTCATGGGGGTCGGCGGCATAGCGGAAGCCTCTTGAGCAAGAACCCCCAAGTGCAAGCTCTGTCTGGGGACTTATGCTTGCCTCTTGGGGCCTCTCGCGAGTCCGCTAGAGGCGGCATGTCTGTCTGTTTCCTGCCCGGGCGTGGCTTCTGAAGGTTCACGCATGCTGTCGTGCTGTCCGCTCCTGGTGGGCAAGCCAGCACACTGTGCACGCAATACTTAAATGGTGCGCCACGGGCACTTGCACTTGCCTCAGCACACCCCAATCCACTGTACACAGACTGATGAGACGAGTCGTGCGATGAGGCGGGGCCGCACAATTGAAAGTTTCTGTGACATCCGACCATGATGTACAGAAAAAAAACGACCTGAAAAAAAGAAAGTGGAGCGCCTAGAACGCCGGCCGACAACGGCGGGTGAGCGAGCAGCCGCGCGTCGCAGACTCGCATTATCCACCTAGGATCGCCGTGATGCCCTGCACGGAAGTCTCGGTGCCGTGGCGTGGGCCGACACGCCGTCCTCGCATTGGCGCTGCTGACCTCGGGGCAGATCACCGATCTCGTGCAAAAAAAAAAAAGCAAAGACAAAAAAAGCAAAAAAAAAAAAGAAAGGGTCATAGTCATGGTTAGCCCGACGGGCTGTCTCGAGGCAGACAGCATACACGGTCAAAGCCGCTGCTCCCAACAGAACTGCACTGCACGGGGCTGTCAAAAAAACGAAAAGATACAGAAAAAAAAAAAAGGAAGAAAAAAAAAAAAGCGGTTTTCCTGTGCTGGCCGTGCTGCAGTAGCCGGTCAACCCTGCGCAGAGAGCTCGTCGGCCGTGAAAGTCTTCGCGCCTACCACCTCGCCGTCGCAACGCAGATGCAGTGGCACGTGCGGCGGGGTGTTTTTGCCGACTGTCTCGCAGCTGCCCGGATGGCCTGGCGGTCGGACTGCCCGCTCGCAACCCGCCGTGGGGCTCCGCTGCCGACACGCTCGAAGCCAGCTCGAAAGCAGAGGCCCAGGGTCGTTGCCAGCAGGCTCTGCGCGCCGACATTGCTGCCGGGCAAGGTCCGAGCGGGCGGGTGACGACACAGGCGAGTCGCGAGAAGGGCGGCACGAGCGGAGGGAAGCTGGTGCCGCAAAAAAAAGCGTTCGACAAGATCAATGGAGCCAAAGTGGCTACGGAAGTGCCCGCTGAGGCCACGTTCGGGCGTTTGGGCGGCCTCCGAGGCCGTCCTGGGGACGTCTTGTGGCGTCCTGGGGGGCATCTGAAGCCGACTGGGAGGCTGTCGTGCCTTGCTCGTCTCGTCGCGTCCTGTGTGGTCCTGTCTGGTCTCGTCTCTGCCGCTGTGGACGGCGAAGGCATGCCCGCGGCGGTCTCGTTGCCCGCGGGGGAGCATGAGGGGCCCGCCCGCCCTGTGAGCTTCGGGGGAGGTCCCTCCCCCAGGTCTGCACGGGGAGGGTCGCGAGCGGTCAGGGCGCCCGAGAGGGCCCAAGATGGCTCCAAGGTGGCCCCAGGTGGCCCCAGAGCTGGCCTCCAGGAGCACACGAGATAGCCTCACATGGCTGAGGGTGGCGCCCGGCATGCCTCCCAGAAGACCCCGAGACCGCCACGAGAGGGCTCCGAGTGGCCACGGAGCCTCCCAAGACGGCCCCCAGGGGACCCTAAGACGGCCCATGAGGGCAAAGTAGAGGGCCCAAGAGGAGCAATACGAACTGGTTTCTCGAGTTCTCTCCCGTCGTGATAGCCCCAAGAGCCCCCAGTGACGCCCGGGGCGCCCCCGAGAGGCCCCAAGAGGCTGCTCAGAGGCCCCATTAGAGAGGCACCCGAGAGGCCCCCAAAAGCCCACCAGATGCCGCCAAGAGCCCTCCTAGAGGCCCCTGAGAGGCATTCCTGGAGACCCTCCTGTGCACCAGGCACGGTGGCACGACTCTTGACGAATCCACCGTCATGGGGGTCGGCGGCATAGCGGAAGCCTCTTGAGCAAGAACCCCCAAGTGCAAGCTCTGTCTGGGGACTTATGCTTGCCTCTTGGGGCCTCTCGCGAGTCCGCTAGAGGCGACATGTCTGTCTGTTTCCTGCCCGGGCGTGGCTTCTGAAGGTTCACGCATGCTGTCGTGCTGTCCGCTCCTGGTGGGCAAGTCAGCACACTGTGCACGCAATACTTAAATGGTGCGCCACGGGCACTTGCACTTGCCTCAGCACACCCCAATCCACTGTACACAGACTGATGAGACGAGTCGTGCGATGAGGCGGGGCCGCACATTGGAAAGTTCATGTGACAATCCGACCATGATGTGACAGCAAAAAAACGACCGAAAAACGGCGGTGGAGCGCCTAGAACGCCGGCCGACAACGGCGGGTGAGCGAGCAGCGCGCGTCGCAGCACTCGGCATTAATCCAGCAGGACTCGCCGATGCCACTGCACGGAAGGTGCTCGGTGGCCGTGAGCGTGGCCGACACGCCGGTCGTCGCATTGGCGCTGCTGACCTCGGGCAGATCACCGATGCTCGTGCAGGTCATCCCGACTGGGCTGTCCTCGAGGGTGCTTCCGCATGAGCCGCTGTGCTCCCAACAGAACTGAACGCACGGGGCTGTCAAGTTGTCTGTGCTGGCCGTGCTGCAGTAGCCGTCACCCTGCGCAGAGAGCTCGTCGGCCGTGAAAGTCTTCGCGCCTACCACCTCGCCGTCGCAACGGCAGATGCAGTGGCACGGCGCCGTGTTGCCGACTGTCTCGCAGCTGCCCGGATGGCCCGGCGTCGGACTGCCCGCTCGCAACCGCCGTGGGGGCTCCGCTGCCGACACGCTCGAAGCCAAGCTCGAAAGCAGCAAGGCCCAGGGCGTTGCCACCAGGCTCTGCCGCGCCGACATTGCTGCCAGGCAAGGTCCGAGCGGTGCGGAAGTGAGCCTGGCAGGCGAGTCGCGAGAAGGGCGGCACGAGCGGAGGGAAGCTGGTGCCGCAAAAAAAAGCGTTCGACAAGATCAATGGAGCCAGAGTGGCTACGGAAGTGCCCGCTGAGGCCACGTTCGGGCGTTTGGGCGGCCTCCGAGGCCGTCCTGGGGACGTCTTGTGGCGTCCTGGGGACATCTGAAGCCGACTGGGAGGCTGTCGTGCCTTGCTCGTCTCGTCGCGTCCTGTGTGGTCCTGTCTGGTCTCGTCTCTGCCGCTGTGGACGGCGAAGGCACGCCCGCGGCGGTCTCGTTACCCGCGGGGGAGCATGAGGGGCCCGCCCGCCCTGTGAGCTTCGGGGGAGGTCCCTCCCCCAGGTCTGCACGGGGAGGGTCGCGAGCGGTCAGGGCGCCCGAGAGGGCCCAAGATGGCTCCAAGATGGCCCCAGGTGGCCCCAAAGCTGGCCTCCAAGAGCACACGAGGTAGCCTCACGTGGCTGAAGGTGGCTCCCGGCTTGCCTCCCAAAAGACCCCGAGGCCGCCACGACAGGGCTCCGAGGGGCCACGTCGTAGCCACCCAGAGATACCCTCGAGAGGCAAAAGCCCTTCAAAAAGGAACGGTTGTGCAATATGGTGGGCATTGTCGTTTCCGTGGGGCGTCTGAGGCCTCAGGATGACTCCAAGATCGCCCAAAAGAGCCCCCAAGAGGGGCCCAGCATGGCTTCTCGACGGCCCCAAATACATCCAAGAGCGCCACAAAAGAGCCCCAAAAGGGCGAGACGATGTGTCGGGTTCCGACAAGGGACAAGGGAGCCCTTGTGGATGGCCTCCAAGATGGCCCAGGAAGTCCACCCAAGCCCCCAAGAAGGCCATAGGAGGGCTCCAAGATGAGCCATGAAAGCTCCAATCAAAAGGGCTTCACAAAAAGGCTCCCCAAGATGGTTCTACGAGTCTCCTGGAGCTCTCTGAGTTCACCGTGGGTGGCCTCACTATTTCACAGTAACCGCATCCACTTCCCGCCTCCTGGCAGCTCACCTCGGCATCGTGTCTGGATGCTCGGGTAGGAACACGCTAAGTAGACGTTAAGGAGCAGACTTCGCTCTCTCTGGGTGCTGCCCCTCGCGCACATGCGCCACCACTTTCGTGAGCTCGTGGGAGGTCCGGCGGGGCGCGGCTGCACGCAGATCCGAAAGTCACCTCGCCTGACTGGGCTTGCAGTGTCCCTGCCCATGGACAGCCTCCGATTTGAGAGAACAGTTACTAGCTGAAATAGCTGAGAAGTATGGGAAAATAGGTTGCATGAAAAAGGCGAAACATGTACACGCTTTAGGTGTAGATCTAGCTCAACAGGCGCTGGGATAATTAGGCTGCGCGCGAGGCGCGGGGAGTACGTGCGCACGTCACCATCAGACGTGACTCACCACAGGCATCTCGAGTGCCTGTCA